TAACCAGGTGCACAGTGAATCGAAATTGGGATCTGGAACCAAACCAACGCAGTCACAGTCTGTCACGTTGTTTGAAGTATGTGATAAAGAAGATATTGTTCAACGTGAGATTACAGAGATATCAATATTTAAAAATAGACTTAAAATTGATCATTAATTAAAAAAAAATTGAAAAAAATATTTTAGCCATACTTATGAGAATATCGAGATATCTATTAAAAACAAATGAAAAACACGCATCATTAATTTTTAAAAAAATAAAGTTTAAATTCTTACTTTTGAATTTAAAAAAAAAAATACAGACGCTTACTGTGTATTGCAGAACATGTCTCAAAAGCTATAAAAAAATGCAAGTAAGCAGAAAATTAACTGATTTCCTCTGGCCATTGAGCTGTATTACATAGTGATAAAAAGGTAAGTCTCTTCAATAACTTTAATTACTTTTTTTTACCAGCTTCCAAATAAATTAAATCTATTGTTACATTAGTCCTCCATTCTCAAAGGAAAATTTTGTTATGTATATTGATAACTCGTATGAGAACTAACCCAAAAGAAATGCCATTTTTAAGACTATAAAATTTTCTTTAACTGTGAAAAAGATTTTTATACTTATCGTTTTCAAGGTAAACAAACAGTAAGTATCAGGTTGAAAACCATAAGAAATTTTTGGCAAAAAAAATCCCACAAAAAAAAAAAACATTTTACATATTTCCTCAAAATCAAACCTTTCGCATGGACGGGTCTCGTAGGCAGCTGTCTTGTCCCCGTCAATAACTAATTCTTGTGCTGTGTTGTCTCATGTGTGAGCTAACAAAGACCCGGTACCATTTTAAGAAATACAAACTACAAGGAACTAAGTAGTCGACAGCTCTGGGGAAAACCACCTCAGCAAGGTGCAAGTGAAGATCCCCCTTTCTGCGTCCACAAAATAACAGGTTCACGTTTTACCCCAGCGGTATAGCGTTGAGCTGTTTCACTGATCCGAAATAGGAAATTAAATCTTTTCTGTGATAGGTCTAATTTAAAGAAAGCTACCCATTTGGCGTGTCTGGGGTAGCCAGCTGGTAAGCCATTAGTACGAAACATCACGGAGTTACCGCTTTGCGGGATGTCCACTTTGGGGAGAGGGTAAGGTTTGCGAGTAGGCATCTCTGTGCGGACCATTAGAGCGTCGGTTTGGGTCGCTGAAGTCATTCTTTATAAACAATTGTTTGCTTCTTTTTTAATAATATTTTTTAATCGTACCCGGAAATTTGATTGAAAGAAATGTATTCGATTGAAATTTGATAGCACAGAAATTGGTCGAATCATTTTTTTTTTCATTTCACACGTTAAAATTCAAATTTTGCTTCAAATTTCTTTTTGAACGCATTATTTTGTTTTACTATATAGCATAGTGCGTTCAAAAAGACATTTGATGAAAATACTTACGTGTGAAATGAAAGAAAGATTCGACCAAATTTCCTTTCGATCAAATTACCGTCGATCAAATTTCTGTTGACGAAATTTCTTTCAAACAAATTTCCGATAACCCCTTTTTATATCATATCACAATTCACTCTTAAAACAATATTTATCTAGTAATTTCATAACATTATCTTGTAATGGACGATTTATTTTTATTGCAAAAATGTTTTATAAAAAATAAATAAATGTTTAATTTTTTTTAAAAATAAGATAAATGAAGTTGTTTTCCCCTGCATTGCCTGGCCCGGTCATGTTTGCACAATTACAAGATAAAAAAGACAGATGTGTGTTAAAACAAATATAAGTATAGCCAAATGACATCCTCGTTGGTGGATTCAATGTCATGGCCTTGTGTGAAGGCTGTGTGCTGGCCTTATGTGTATAAGAGGTTGATAGATACAATGTGTTCTTTTCATCTAAACTTTCCGTAACAGAATGTCATAAAAACTATATGAAGTCTATACAATGTCTACATTGTATAAGGATAGTGAATGCATACAGCATATAGTTTATTACTTTGTATTGTTTCGTATAATATAACATCACATTTGCCATGTTATGGCGCCTTACATTTAGTGACAAATCTAATGAAAGATATATTAGATACATACTCATAAATATACGAATAACGGCTATGAAAATCCATTTATAAAGTTTACATTTTATTTTAATTTCTTATATGCTGCGTTCACTCATCTTAAGAATAGGACATATTTTTTTTAAGCACCGATTTATTAAAGAATAAAAGTGTATATGTAATTTAGGATCTATAATTCTATCATTACCATTAAGTTCAACCTCCACTGCTGGGTCCATTAATACAACTACCGTAAAAGAGCTATACGCTTTAACCATGCCGATACATTGAGAACAAGTTGTTTGGTTGCCCTGCAAGGATTCGTATCTATGAAATGTCGGATAAAGTACTTCATGGCAGGTATTATCAGCTGTTGAAATGTGGAGGGTTCTCTTTTTACGGCCAGCAGCCGTTACAACAATATTAAAAGGAGAAGCATGTGTGAACTTGAGCAGTAAGCCTGGCCTTGATACATGTCACGGGAATTAAAATCGCTTCCATCACTTTCGATATTTTAAATGCCATTTTGAGAAATGTTTTGTTTTTTTTTTTTTTTTTTTTTTTTTTTAAAGTTGAAACTATATTTTTTTATTTAAATAATTTTACTTTTCAGAAGAAGGGGGTGCGGGATTATCGGCTTCCCGCCCCCCCCCCCCCCTTCCAACATTTTTCTATTGGTGTTAGTTTGCTAGCTAGACATGATGAGTTTTTGAGAATAGTGTTGTGGGTCCTTCATATTGAGAATCTGAATCGTTTTTATACAATTAGTAAATTGAAGTTTACATTCGTTTTTCAACCATTTTAATCAATTAAAATAAATTTATTTTTTGGGCCTACTTTTTTTTCTTTTTATAAGTATCGCCAATTTCTGTGGTGCGTGAAGAAAATCAGTTATTTGCGTAATATTACATATTCTTTTAAAAGTAGTCAATTCAAATCTGAACAGAAATCAAAGGGTGTCGAGATCCCGACGTTAACAATCTTAGCACAAATTCATAATTAATTGATGACCAGCCGTAATAAGAGTTAAATATTCACATTTAAAGTATGCACCGTAATTTTGTGCATGTGATAGGAAAGTAAGGCATAGCTTCTAGATTTGCTGTGCTACCAGGGGTGGACTTGGGAGTTCAAGCAGCCCGGGAAAAAATCAAAGCAGCCCGGGAAAAAAACAAAAAGCGGCCCTATCTTCATGACTTTTATTTTTATTATATCACCGGTCCTAGCGGCCCGTCGGGAATCTTCCCGGTGTCCCGGCGGCCCAGTCCACCCCTGTGTGCTACGCTTAGGCAATTTGTAGACTTGATTTAAAATAGTACTAAGAGATAGCTACGTGCCACCATTTAGAAGGGAAAAAAATCTATTGATCGATGTTTTTTATTCTGTCACTGGGTTTATTTGAACAGTTTAATCCAAGCACACGATAAATATTAGTGCAATATTTTAAGCGTGAAAAATACTACTAAGACATTAAATAAAATTCTGTTGCATAAAGATATTAAATTTTTATTGTAAAGTAGTTTTATAAAACACATTTTCCGGTCATTAAAAAATAAAGAAAAAAACAAAATAAAACAAATCACGTTAAAAATTTTCAAAGTATTATTTAAATACAATATTTATGCCTCCAAAATAAGAACGTTCATGTGTCCATTTTTCTGTTTGGAAATCCTATTTGTATGCTATAAATAGACTTTTTGATATTAACGATTACTTAGCTATATAACCTGTCATATTTATTTTATTTAACAATACTTATAAATTTATGAGACTCACCGTGCCGAAGCAGTAGAAGAGATTCTCATAATCTGTCGGCAGATATAAACGATTTCATTTCCCGATGTTACCTTTTCCCTTTTTTTCAATAAAAACACTTACCTTTTTTTTAATAGCAATTCTTAATTTTAAAGATTGTAATTGTATCATACGGAAGTGAAACATTAACCCCAACAAAAAACGGTCGAAAACCTATTAAACACATGGGAGAGAAAAGTTATCCGTAAATATTTTAAAACCAACAGAGGATGAATATGGATGGAGCATAAAAACCAGTAGGGTAATTAATAGTCTATATCAGCATCCCACGCTAGTAGCAGACATAATGCAGGCTCCGCTGGGCAGGACAATTAGAAATAATGTCAAATGACAGACAAGTGAAGAGGTTACATCATCAAAAACAACAGAAAAAAAGGCTCAAAGACAGACCTAGGCAAAGATGGATGGATGGTGTGGATAAAAATCTACAGCAGCATGGAAATCCAAGCGTGGGAACGAAAAGCATAAGTTACGTTGGACTGGAAGGAAGTGGTGAGGCACGCCAATTCCCTACAAGGGCTGAAATGCCACATGAATGAATGGAAGGAAGTAGTAGGGATGTCAAAACACTGCATTTGCTGCAGCGCCACAAGGAAGAAACGAATTGAAGTTAGAAATAATATGCCCACTGGTATGATCTGGTGATTGTATTTTACTACGTCAGTTATATCCAATCATTGATACATGAAAAAAGCATGTACTACTATAATGTTAATATAATAACATCCTTCCTTTTGGAGATCTCCTCTTACAATAACATTATTATTTATTTAAGTGCACCATAAGTTTAAGATATCAGGTTGTATTTAATTGAAATAAATGAATGGTTTAAAACATATCTTTCAAGAGACGCAAAATACAAAGCATGTTAAAATGGGTTATTAACAGATTAATTTAAAAGAATTAAAACGCTTAAGTTATATTTTTTTAAAGAAATAATAATAAAAATATAGGAAAAAATTGTATTTAATCTGTTGAAAATGTTTGAAGAAGCAGTCTGAACGTCATGAAATAAAATATTATAAAAATGAAATATCTTAAAAGTAACTTACTTGTTTATAAATTATAAACTTATTTTTTGTTACCGTTAGATAAAAAAACAAATAATATCAACCTTAAATAAACAAAAATTAAATTAATTTTAGTGAAAGAAGCGCACAAAAAAAATGCTCATTAAAGATAAAGTTATATCTTTAAAGCAAAACGAAAGAAAATAATTTTTAAAAGTCCACTCTTTGTGATACGCCGACTCTGGAAGCCGTAGAGAGATGATGTCATAAAACATGTTCTAAATACTAAGTTAAATTTTTTTTTAAAGTGCTTTCTTTAAGTTTTTGATATCTTGACCACCACGTCCCTTCCTGTCATTTGAAGACGCATTACTTAGTCGTAAACAAAGCCCGTGTTGCCATAGACGTTTGCGTCATGATCGGCTGACTCATTGGCGGTTGGTTTGAATACTAATTTGGCGTCCATGTTTTTGGTGGAGACATCAATGCTGACATTCTCATAGTGTTTTGACGTTTGAAAGTACCTGTCCAACACATCGTAGATGACACGGTATTGCTCCTGTAGAAGAAATGCAGCACTATAATAAGATGTGAATATTTATTCCTCAAGTGTCACAAAATAACTTCTTACAAATTAATGTCATTCTGTATAGTCAACTCCGTGATTGAAGAAATTTAAAAGTACTACAACTGGTAAAATACATTTAAAAACAAATTATGTAATTTTCTTTTTGATCTGATTTCTTCTATAATTTATTATTAAAATTTGAGATAATTGATCTTTAAACAAAAATATCTTTTTAAAAAAAAATAACACACATTTTCACATTGATACTTACGGGAAAAAAACAACAATAACATCATGAATATAATTAGCATCGTCGTGACTCCTTCCGATAAATTAAAACGTTGTAAAATGAACTAACACTAACAAGATGAAAGTAAGCTTTAAGCTGTTTGAAGAAAACAAAACTGGAAGAATTCCTTTTCAAAAGACTCTGACTTTCATCGATATATGACGAGACAACCATATCCGCACATCTGTATATATCTCAAGCGATTGATCTCTGCACATCTGTATATATCTCAAGGGATTAACCGCCGCACATCTGTCTATATCTCATGGGATTAATCTCCGCACATCTGTCTATATCTCAAGGGATTAATCTCCAAACATCTGTCTATATCTCAAGGGATTAATAATCTCCAAACATCTGTCTATATCTCAAGGGATTAAACTCTGCACATCTGTATATATATCTCAAGGGATTAATCTCTGCACATCTGTCTATATCTCAAGGGATTAATCTCTGCACATCTGTCTATATCTCAAGGGATTAGCTTCAGCACATCAGTGTACATCTCAAGGGATTCATTTTACCAAATGTTCGATACATTCGATTAGAAATTTGCGAATGAAATAAGTTTAATTCATAATTTTTCTTTTGCTATATTTCTCTATACACTTTGTTTCTTTGATATATAAACAAAACAAGAATCTCTCTCTCTCCCCAAGCCATTACTCTTATTCTCTAGCACTTTTTCTCACTCTCCCTATCTCTCTCAATCACCCTACACTCTGTCCACCTTACTTTCCATGCATAGTATCCCTTCTAAAATGAAAAATTATCAAATGTTTATTTTTTTTTAAAATAGAGAGCAGAAACACAGCATTATTAAAAATTTAACATTAGGTCAAATAGTTGATTTTTTTTTAAAAGAAGATTCTTTCAGCTAGGTTTGACTCTGCAACAACTTTGCAGGAAAACGCACGACCAAATGATTTATCATCGTATTCCTTAACAATGTGTAATGCCTAAAGACAGAAATAAATGTTAAGAGATCTAAGAGTTACCGGTGTTGGGATGACCTCTAGTCTTATAGACTTGATTTCTCCCACGACAAGCGGAACGCAGAGAGAGCCGTCCTGTTCAATCCTGTCGAGCAGTAAGGACAGCACACATATAAGGCCACTGTAATCGGCGCCGTTTCTGCAAATTTCCATACCAAGAACATTAATAGCATGAAAAAAGGTTGGGAGTTTACTGATGATATCTTTGTTTTGATGTATCGGCTATATCGACAATTGAGTACAGTTACTTTATATTTATTGCTGTAATCAGGATTTAAAATCATTATGTTTGAAAATGAACAGTTGTTTTTAAAAGTACTAATTGGAAAAAAAAGAGATTTTTCCTTAAATCATATCTTTTGGGATTCCTTTTGATTATGCTACTGGTTTAAATTATCACCTAACATCCTCACCAGGTGTATTTGCTTTAACTAGTATTACCTGCACGTGTACAGCGTTCTGCCGCGAGCGTGGGCGTCATAGGACCTGACGTGTTTCACGAGACTTAAGAGGTTCTTGGGGCTGAGGTCCGTGAAGAAACATTTGATGTGAATTACTGAGTGACTCCCGGCTACCTGTGACACAAGACGTTCATCGGTACATCATTTAAATTTAGCAGTTATAGTGCGAACATATCTAATTAATTAAGTTTTGTTTCCGTTTCTAGTCACAAAGTTAAAATATCAGCTATAACCTCCGCATATAATATTTCTTGAGACTGTAACATGCCCATACCCATATGCTATATTTCTTGAGACATTAAACTATACTTATTAAGAGCTTTAACAAATTATGTTAAGATTTTTAGAAAAAAAAATCGTTATTCAAAAATTAATAACGATTACAGATGTATCATGTCTTCTAAGATTCGGTATCATGTTGCTATAGTTACTAAGACAAGTAACTTACAGAAGTCGGCTGGGACAGTTTAGGTTTATCCGTGTCAATCTTCAGTCGACGCTCCTCCCACAAAGGTTCTTGTCTCATGACCATTGATATAATCTCAAAGGGAGGGCATCTCAGGGTCTCAACACCAGCGACAGGTAAATAGTTACCAAAGCTCTAAACACATTTTAAAAATAATTTTATTGTTGCTAACGTTTCACCCCGGTTCCCCTCTCCCTCAACCCCATTAAAAAAAAAAAGAATTGATAAAAAGTATTAGAACATTCATCAACTTTTTTAACATTTTTGTTTCTGTGTGTAAAATAGCATATCATCTAAGGAAGGGGAGGGTTTTCTTGCCAGCTAAGTCTAATGAAAAGTACCTCATCTTTGGCCATGGCGTCAAGTTCAAAAGCGACAATGAGTGAGACATCGTATTGTGAGACTAGTCGCCAGAAATCTACGACTGTGGTTGGCATGGGAAGCTGGGTGATCAGCTGCTGGTCTTTCTTGTTGAAGCCCTGGAAGCACAAAACTTGCCTACTTAAATGGCTGACCACTGTTCTCAAATGCAGGTTTTGCGTGTGTTTTTAAAAAAAATGTTACGAGTTTAGTTTCTGACACAGTGACTGGGTCAACAAAGAACTTGATACATGTATACATCAAAAGACTCATAGTGTCCTAACTAAGCCTTTTTCAAAAGACTCATAGTGTCCTAACTAAGCCTTTTTCAAAAGACTAATAGTGTCTAACTAAGCTTTTTCAAAATACTCATAGTGCCCTAACTAAGCCTTTTTCAAAAGACTCATAGTGTCCTAACTAAGCCTTTTTCAAAGGACTCATAGTGTCCTAACTAAGCCTTTTTCAAAGGACTCATAGTGTCCTAACTAAGCCTTTTTTCAAAAGACTCATAGTGTCCTAACTAAGCCTTTTTTCAAAAGACTCATAGTGTCCTAACTAAGCCTTTTTCAAAAGACTCATAGTGTCCTAACTAAGCTTTTTTCAAAAGACTCATAGTGTCTCCTAACATCAGAATAGAGGGTCATCTCATAATGTAGCGCACTAAATTTAACGCCAATGACGAGAAACGTTATTTAAACGATTTTGTCATGTATTTTCGATCGCCTTAATAGGGTGATGTTTAATTTCTAACTGTTATAAAAAACGATCAGTCGAGGGATAACAATATTTTTATAGTTTATTCAGCCGATAATGGCCAGAATTTTTCACTTTTTCCCAGTCTCGGGACACAAGCAATATTCCTACAGTAGAAGTCTTGAGTCAGAGACGACCACACTGAGCATGACAGACCCGAGATGGTTACCGGTGGAGACGACCACTGGGCATGCCAGACCCGAGATGGTTACCGGTGCAGACGACCACTGGGCATGCCAGACCCGACATGGTTACCGGTGCAGACGACCACTGGCCATGCCAGACCCGACATGGTTACCGGTGCAGACGACCACTGGCCATGCCAGACCCGACATGCAATGGCCACGTCTGCTGGTGACGGCATGCCAGAGTCGACATGGTTACCGGTGCAGACGACCACTGGCCATGCCAGACCCGACATGGTTACCGGTGCAGACGACCACTGGCCATGCCAGATCCGACATGGTTACTGGTGCAGACGACCACTGGCCATGCCAGACCCGACATGGTTACCGGTGCAGACGACCACTGGCCATGCCAGACCCGACATGGTTACCGGTGCAGACGACCACTGGCCATGCCAGACCCGAGATGGTTACCGGTGGAGACGACCACTGGGCATGCCAAACCCGAGATGGTTACCGGTGGAGACGACCACTGGGCATGCCAGACCCGAGATGGTTACCGGTGGAGACGACCACTGGGCATGCCAGACCCGAGATGGTTACCGGTGGAGACGACCACTGGGCATGCCAGACTCGACATGGCTACCGGTGGAGACGACCACTGGGCATGCCAGACCCGACATGGCTACCGGTAGAGCAGCTTTTGGCTCATCATACGATTTCATAATTTTTTTTTTCGGCACGAGAAATGGTGCACCAAATTTGACCCCTTGCAACATCAGCGACCGGAAAAAAATTCGACAAAGTGGCTGACTTAAGGGGCACTCTGGGGCCGTCCCCGGTCATCGAAGTCGACACCGGAATATGCCAAACCAAAAATCCGGGGGGGGGGGGGGAAGAAAAAAACGGAAAATTCCTGGAAAAATTGTTTAACCAAACGTTTTTTTTTAACCAAAGGCTGTTCCGGAAAATTTTTTGTTTTTTTTTTTTTTTTGTTTTCTGTCGACAGGTAGGATCTCGAGCAAACAGCTCGAATTTTCCCAAATCTGAATCCGGAATTCGATCCGGCATCTATGGAAACATCATGGCGCTCAATTTAGTCACTGGATCCCTTGCGGTTGGAGCCCGCCACGTGCTTAGTTAGGTGCATGAACAAATTAATTTTTGTGTTGCTTTTTTTTTTTTTCGTTTTTTTTTCGTTTTTCCTCCGGTGTCTTACGGTCAGTTGTTGTGGGTTCACTTGTCCGGCGTTCAGTTGTCCGGTCACCGCAGCTACCACAAACCCAGTTAATGCAGCATTAACTATCAGAAATCTGCCCTAGAAGTGGCTCCGTAAACCGCACCCGCGATGACCGCGCCTACCTGAACAGAAGCGTGGCGATGCCGCGGGGGACCACATCGCTCACCGCTATGCTCGATGTGTCTTCATCACGTCAATATCAATGCATCAAAGAATGCTGAGTTGAAGGGAAACAGCGCACGGGAAAGAGGGGTGAAGCGCGAGACTCGGTTACGTCATAGAATGCCACCAACATCAGAGGGTGACCAATGTCCGGGAGTCGGTTGGTTGACGCGTGTCGTGACGCGGCGTCCTCGTAGAGGTTTGGCCAGGGAAACGTCGAGAGCGAAAAAAAAAAGGATTATGATAAGAGGTGTAAACCACAGACGTGGCTGGCGCACGTGATCTGGACGTACCGTAACAGCTGGGGGGTGAAGAAGAACGTCTTAGTGGCCTAGCGAGGCCAAGCATTTTTCGGCCCACTACCAGGAAATTAAAAAAAAAAAAACCAAAAACTTTAGTTGGCTGAAAATGGCACCCCTCCAAAGAAAAGAAAAAAACGGACCGTCCGCTCCACAGCTCGCTCCCTGCACAAGTGGAATGACTTCTTCTTGTCAGTTGAGGGTCGCCTCAGAGGAGGCAATTCGGGGGCTTAAGTGGCTGCTCAGCTCTAATTTGATAGGACTTAACAGGTTGGCCGACAACTAAGTTGACTTTGATTTGCTCTGAGTAAAATGAGAGACAGTGTTAGACGCTTCTATCATCAAACAATGTCCCACGTGACCCCCCATCTCTCTTCCACCCCCTCCACCCCACCAAAAATTAAAAAAAAAAAAAAATTATTAAATCGACATTTTTAAAAAAAAATATTTTAGAAAAATCAAGGCGCGTGACGTCTTTACTGGAAGCAAGAATAGCGGCGCCCTGGGTGAAGCCTGAAACTACAACCCCACCCCCAGTATATTGTAAATGCGCCCCCTGATATTGAAGCCCTGGGCGAGTACCACATTCGCACGGCCCTGCATAGATTGGCCCCCACAGTTTCGTAGATGCCTAGAGCACGTGAGACGTAACTGTTTAAACATGTCTTACCCCCCCCCCAACCCCACACGTTTATAAAGAACACTTCGACCCCCAGATGTGTAACTAAGTTATAAGCACGTGTTCCTTTTTATATGTGTTGCTTTTTTTGTGTTGTGTGTTTCTGTGTTTGCTCTCATGAAAATATATGGGCCACCAAACGATGAGTATGGATGGAGAATACGAACCAACCATGAATTATTCAGTCTATATAAGGATCCCACGATAGTAGCAGAAATTTAAAAAAAAGGGGGCAGGCTACGTTGGGCAGGACACTTAGAGATAATGCCAAATGACAGAGTAACGAAGGGGATGCATCACCAGTACCCCAGAGGAAAAAGTCTCAAAGGCAGACCTAGGCTTAGGTGGATAGATGATGTGGAAAAAGATCTACAGCAGTTGAAAGTCCAAGCATGGAGAAGAAAGGCATTAGGTCTGAGCGGAAGGAAGTGGTGAGGCAGGCCAAAGCCCTACATGGGCTGTAGCGCAACAGGGAAAGAAAAGAAAAAAAGTTTGCGTGTTTTGTATGTTTGCAAGCTTAAAGGAATAGGGACAAACAGGATTATGTTAAATGTGGATTTAGTTGACGATGATCGAGCACTTCTATAGCGCTTGCGCCCACGCTATTTTTAGATGTCCTAAAATCTATCAAGGAAAAAAAAAAGTCTTTAAATGGTTCTTAAATGATTTTTCATCATTGAGGCAACGTGTGTCACAATTTAGGCGCAATGGCTTCTTTCTGCGCCCATCCACACTGGGAATTCTCACCGTGTTGTGAATAGTGATAGCAAGAAGAGGACAGCCAATGGTCAGGTCCGCATTTTTACTTATTCACCAAAGGCGTAACTGGCATTTGACTATTTTGTTTGTTTGTGGTGGGGCGAGGAAGGGGGGCAGTCTTGCCTAGTGCAAGGACATAGATATAGCAAATAGATATTTAGATTGACCATATAGATGCATACTCATCCCATACTCATCCCATCTAAGTAATCAAGCTTCTTCCCGCTGGCGACAATGACTCTACCAC